CAAGTCCAATTACCATGAGTGGGCCTCGATCATGAAGCTGAAGCTCTAGGCGCGGCAACTCTGGGACGCGATCGAGTACCAGGACCTACCGTACCATGAGGACAGGCGCACGATGGAGGCGATCATCGCCGCCATACCGCAGGAGATGCAGATGCCGCTGTCTGAGAAGGGATCGGCCAAGGAGGCCTGGGACTCCATCGCCGCCGCGCGGATCGGCGTCGATCGGGTGCGCGCCGCCACGCCACGACTCCAAATGACTTCGAGAAGCTTCGCCTTCCGTCCGGGTGAGCAGATCGAGGACTTCACCCTTCGCTTGATGGCTCTGAAGCAGCAGCTTCTTCTCCACGGCGACAACGACATCGATGAAGAGCGCGCGGTGGAGAGGCTCCTGCGCGCCGTGCCGCCGAAGTACGCCCAGCTCCGGATCGCCATCGAGACGCTTCTCGACTTCCAGGACCTCACCATCGAGGAGGTGTCTGGGCGTCAAGACGGTGGGCGACATGGAGGCGCCGGCGCGGAACCGCCGCCATCGGTGGTCTGCTGGCCGACAAGGGAGCGATGGCGTGCCTGAGGAGAGGAGGAGGCCGCGCTTCGCGTCGAGCAAGGAACCGCGACGTCGCCCACGCGGGCGGCAAGAAGCAGCAGGAAGGGCAATCGCGGAGGAGAGAGAGGCGGTGGCGGCGATCGCGGGCGGACGACGACACTCGCGCCTCAATCGTGGCGATCGCGCGCCATCGGGCGTAGCGACTCGCCGCCGCCCGGCGTGGTGGTGGTGGTGACCGCGGCGGCGGCGGCGGCAACCAACGCCGAGGCAACCGCGTTGGAGGTGATCGAGGTGGACGGCGCGGTGGAGGGCGTGGCGGTGCTGCGCACGTCGCAGAAGCAGAGGACGATGATGGTGCTCTGTTTCTCGCCCACGGCTTCCTCGAGCTCGACGAGAAGGACGAAGCCATCTGCTCCAAGGCCACGGCCTCCCTTGACATCAACGAGCCGCGCGCGCGTCTTCCTCAACACCAGCGCCAACGAGGAGGCGCTCGACGGATGGTACCTCGACAGCGGGGCCACGCATCACATGACCGGCCGCCGGGAGCTCTTCGCCGAGCTCGACACCACGGCGCGCGGCACGGTGCATTTCGGCGACTCGTCTCGAGTGGAGATCAAGGGGACCGGCTCCATCGTCTTCAAGGCCAAGAATGGGGAGCAGCGCGTCCTCCATGGCGTTTTCTACATCCCAGCGCTCCGGAACTCGATTATGAGTTTGGGGCAGCTCGACGAAGGAGGCTCCAGGATGGAGATTGATCATGGAGTGCTCCGTATCTGGGACCGGCGTGGTCGTCTTCTCGCCAAGGTACATCGCGGGCCCGGTCCGGTCAGACATCATCACCGCACTTGAGGGCAGCCGGCGGCCGGTGTGTCTTGCCGCCGAAGAAGGAGGACGAGTCATGGAGGTGGCATGGCGCTACGGGCATCTCAAACGGTATTTGCACCGGCTTCGGCAAGAAGAAGGAGATGGTGAGGGGATGCGGTGATCAAGCATGCGAGCAAGTTTGCGACACTGCGTCACCACCAAGCTCCGCCCGCAAGCCGTTTCAAGAAGAGCGCGCGAAGATGCTGCATGGCGCGCCTGGACCTCGTCCACGGCGACTTCAGCGCGGGCGGTGACGCCGGTGATGCCGGGAGGCGCGCTACTTCTTGCGATGGTGGACGACGCCACCCGCTTCATGTGGGCGGTGTAAGCCGCCGACCAAGGATCTTCGCCGGGATGCCGTGAAGCGGGTGAAGGCCAAGCGAGAGAAGGAGACCGGCCGTGAGCTCAAGGTGCTGCGGACCGACAATGGAGAGAGTTCACCGTCGGCGAAGCTGGCATGATGCGCCGCCGCAAAGAAGAGTCAAGCGGCACTACTCGCACCACATTCACCGCGAGCAGAGCGGTGTGGTGGGCGGCGCATAATCGACGGTCGTGGCGACCGCACGCGCGCTCTCAAGCGAGAGGTCCATGCCGCCAAGGCCAGGGGAGGCGGTGATGACGGCGGTGCATCTCGCTCAACCGCGCGCCGACAAGAAGCTTGCAAGGCAAGACCCCCTATGAGGCCTGGCACGGACGAGCGCCGGTGGTGAGCTACCTGCGTACATTCGGCTGCATCGCCTACACAAGGGAGCTCGGCGATTGTGCAAGCTCGACGACGTGGCAAGGTGGGGTCTTCATCGGCTACGCCAAAGGCGCCAAGGCTTACCGGGTCCTCGATCCGGCGACGGGGACGCGTCAAGGTGAGCCGCGACGTGGTGTTTGATGAAAGGCGCGGTGGGATTGGTCCATTCGGCCGCCGGACGCTCGCTTCCGCCCAGCGACTTCGACATCGAGTTCTGGGGAGTCGACGCAGATGGAGCTCCGCCGCGCGCGCCGTCACCAGCTCCAGGGGAGCACGATCCACAAGCCTCCTCTGCTTCACCAGCCTCCTCTGCTTCACCAGCAGCAGAGACCGAGCAGGCGGACCCAGTTGAGTTCGCGTCACCGCTCGAGGACGACGACGATCGCCTTGACGCTTCCTACGACGGCGAGCAGCTGCGGTACCGTACCATGCCCAACATCATCGGGGACGCACCCACACCGTTGCCGGCTTCACGTCTCTTCGCCGAGCTTCACCTCACGTACGCCGGCGAGCCGACCAACTTCGCGGAGGCTGAAGGCGATCCTGCCTGGCAGGCCGCCATGGAGCAGGAGATCAAGGCAGTTGAGCAGAACCGCACTTGGGAGCTTGTGGAGCTTCCTCCCGGTCACCGGCCCATCACTCTGAAGTGGGTCTACAAGCTCAAGAAGGACGAGCGGGGCGCGGTGACCAAGTACAAGGCGCGCTTTGTGGCGCGGGGCTTCGTCCAGCAGGAAGGGATCGACTTCGACGACGCGTTTGCTCCCGTGGCGCGCATGGAATCCGTCCGAGTCCTCGCGCTGGCGGCCCAAGAAGGATGGCGCGTCCACCATATGGACGTCAAATCGGCCTTCCTCAACGGCGACCTCAAGGAGGAGGTGTACGTGAAGCAGCCACCTGGCTTCACCGTCGTCGGGAAGGAGAAGATGGTGTACCGTCTGCGCAAGGCTTTGTATGGCCTATGGCAGGCTCCGCGAGCTTGGAACGCCAAGCTGGACGCCACCCTCAAGGAGATGGGTTTCAAAGAAAGCGACCATGAAGCGCGACGTCGCATGTGCGAGAGAACAGGAGGAGCTGCTGGCGATCGGCGTCTATGTTGATGACTTGATCATCACCGGTGCCGCTCAAGCCATAGAAGGTTTCAAGGCTCGGATGAAGAAGGTTTTCGACATGAGCGACCTCGGCCTCGTCCTTCTACACCGGGGTCGAAGTACACCAAGATTCATTTGGGATCACTCGAGGCAAACCCATTATGCCAAGAGGATCCTTGAGTGGGAGGTATGGATGTCTGCAACCCCGCCCCATACACCAATGGAGGAGCGGCCGAGGTTGAGCAGTAGAGAGCGCTTGGCTGCAGAGGTTGATCCTACCCAATACAGAAGATTGGTGGGCAGCTTGCGCTACTTGGTCCACACAAGACCTGACTTAGCCTTCTCAGTAGGCTTTGTCAGTCGATTCATGGAGAGGCCGACTGCAGAACACCAAGCAGCCATCAAGCGCATCCTGAGATATGTGGCTGGTACTCTGGAGCTTGGCCTGCACTACACTAAGGCTCCAGGGAGAGCAAGGTTTGTTGGGTACTGCGACAGTGACTTGGCTGGGGACATTGACACCAAAGAAGAGCACTAGTGGCACCCTGTTCTTTCCGGGAAGCAATCTTGTGTGTTGGCGGTCGGTGTGAAGCGAGAAGGTGGTGGCTCTATGTAGTTGTGAAGTCGAGTACATTGCCACTACCACAATTTGCAAAACAAGCAATTTGGCTATCTAGGTCTGTTCATGAGACCTCCTTGGAAGGAATGTGGAAGTGGTTGAACTGAAAGTTGATAGCAAGTCTGCACTTGCTCTAGCCAAGAATCCAGTCTTTCATGAGCGCAGTAAGCACATCATAATCAAGTATCACTTCATCAGAAACTGCTTGGAAGATGGAAGTATCAGGGCTGATCACATATCCACCACTGATCAGCTGGCTGACATTCTAACCAAGTCTCTTGGAAGATCAAAATTTGAAGAGATGAGGGGAAGAATTGGGCTCAAGCAGATCACCTCCAAGGACCACAAGGCTAAAGGGGAGAATTGTCATTAGTTAGCCTAGTGTTTATGCTTTCCAGTTACCTACTTTTGTTTTTTACTATTCACTGTTATGTAATTTTCAGGTTCCTTGGCAACCAAGTTGATCATGGTGCCTTGGCAACCAAATAGGAATCATAGCATCTGTTTTATGCAGTTAGAATATGCTAAGGAGTAGGTACACCACTTGCTTATATATGCAGTGGTTAGCATCTTCTTGTACTAAGTTGTTATTGCAAATCAATACAATCTAAGCGGCCTGTTGGCCAAGCTGCCCTCTGGCAGCCAACAGGCACAACTTCAATAATAGAACACTTCTGGAAAGACCGCATAAAATGCTGAAAACCATTCAGTGTTCTGTTCTATAGAATAACAGGTACTATGTTTTTTTTTAATACAGAAAGAATAAGGGCAGCTACATTTAGGAAAGCAGAGAAATGCTTTGTAGTGTGAATAGCAAGCTATGCCAGCACACCTTTTCGTAAATCATATTAAGTTTTGACTCCATGCAGATTGACAATATTGATATATTCAGTTAATCTCATTTCAGGTAGAATAGTTGCACAAAAGAAATACTTTTACTATTCTAGAACTCCTACAGTCAAGGGAAAGTTATAATGATACTATCTAAAATAGTAGCACCTGACCTTTCACTAAAAGAAATTATTAATTGATTTTCTGGGTATATTCAGTTACATCATATACTCAATACTGAGAAAACAATGGATGCTTCGATCAATAATTTTTATACAAATACCTAAACATATGGATGGCAGTGAATTTGTATTATGATGGGAAAAGCAATACCCTTTTGCTTGTTTCTTGAAGCTCTCCGGCAAGAATGAACTCATCCAATATCAAGTAGACCTACAGCACATAGCCAAAAAGTTCAAGAAGCAAATTCACAAATGATAGTTAGATACTTTAGTATTGTTTTTGAAAGACAAAAACTAGAGAGCAAAAGCAGTCACATTTTGTCTTGATTGTAGCAATGTTTATTTCCAAATATTCAGTTCTAAATAGACTGTTGTGAAAATTTCTTTCCTAGTGTCTTATGCAAATACAGATTGAGTTTTGACAATATAGAGAAGGGCTTTTGGTGATCATATGTGCAACCTCCCAATGCAAAGATAATTGTTTATTGAAGACACTAGAACTCTAAAGCAAAGTGAAAATACATATTTAAAAATTATCATCTGACAACGAGAAGGTACTATATATTGACATATAAAAGAATCATGACAAAAATCAGAGTACCAGAAAACAGGGCAAAATAACTAAAAGATTGTTACTAGTTCAAATAGCTCAGCGATGTCATGTATGCAGGAGTAACATCTTATAAAGTCATGATGCTAACAGTTTCCCTATGGCCCCTTTTATCATCTGCGCACAAGTATCTAACACCTTAACGAGTGCCAGATGACAAACACAAGTAACACCAAATAAGTAAATGTCTTAGCAGAATGCAATGGTGCTAGCACATACGCATGATTTTGGGCTCAGAGAATGTTTAACCCTAACACATTAAATAGCTTTCAGTTTACAAATCAAACTTTTCAGTACAGTTATCTAAACTGCATAGCAGATTACATGTTAACACAATCAATGCCAGCAGGGTAGCTCAATATATGCAAACTGGTCACCAATGAACTTGTTGATAAAGAGAATATTTAGATGGAAATTACACTTTCAAGTTTCAATACAAGATGTGAAAAGATCAAAAGTATTGACTTATTGCAGATTGCTAGATTAGCCTAGTGAGACATTGAGGTTACCTTGTGGAAGTTAAATACTAAATCAAGTTCACACACATTGCTGAAGAAATGGTCCAATATCTCGACAAACAAATGGATACATTCCAAGTATGCCAATTCATTGTCAGTGATGTCCACGCACAGAGAGAAAAAAAGTCCTGCATATCTTCTGTAGATAACTTTGTGTGTGCGGAACTGCAAGAGAAATCCAACATCAGTTACAAGAGTTAGAACAAACAGTGAAATTGAAGACCTTTTTTATGGTCATACTAAATATCTAATCATTAGTTTCTGGAAGTTCATTACTGATAAGGTTTTCACTGTAGTATGGGGACCTGTATGAATGAAAAAGGAGCAGCAAGAGGATGATAGATGACAACAAAAAAATAGTATGAATGTAATGTTGTTATGGATTGACTACGGTAGATGGATTAGCAGAGACCCCAGATAGCAGCCCTTCCTGGAATTTCTCCAAGCGCGCAATGCGCTCGTCATGCGAATTCAATCGCTTGTTCATGGTGGAGAGTTGCGCGAGGATGTGGTCAAGCTTGGCATCCATCGCCACAAGATCGATGCTAGGGCCGGTCATGGTGGATGATGATGCCCCTGCGCTGGATCTCCGATACCAATTTGTTATGGATTGACTACGGTAGATGGATTAGCAGAGAGACCCCGGATAGCAGCCCTTCCTCGGGAACTATCTTAGGATCTTCTTGCTTGACTATAAATGATACAGAGTTCTCTCTTTTATAGAGATGACTGACTTGACCTCTAAGGAAATATCCTAACCAAATCAATCCAACATATCTCTTTCCTAACAAACCAAACCAATCTAATCTAATCTAATCACGTGCTACAGTACCGCGTGGGCCCCTTGGCTGGCTCCACTTGCCATAACACTGCTATGGCTCCCACATCTACTGTTTCCTCCTGGATTCCGCCTCCGCTTCCCGAGTCCGACGGTGGTAACTACGTCGCCGCCTCAGGCTCAGGCTTGGTCCTCCTAGACAGGTGGTGCTACATCGCCAACCTCGTCAACGCCCCCACCGCTGAGGGCACCACGAGCACCGGCTTACGCATCCAAGTGACCTTCCGTGCCGCCCGCCCGCCACTTGTCTCCCACTTCTGCGTCCACTGCCCCGACCTCGAGTTCCCCAACGCAGTTCCCAAGGTTATCACCACCGACGCCGATCTCGTCCTCCTTTAAGTCCCCGTCTACCCGGACACCATCGGCCACGGACGCGACTGGGACTACTTCGTCTACAGCCTGCACGCCCATCGCCTAGATCTGGTCCCGAACCCGAACTACAGGTGTCTCACCGACTACGCAACTGTCATCCTTAGCCGCGAAGACGAAGACGGCGCTAGCTGGTATGCCATCGCCGCCCTAGGTGTTAAGGCGCCCGTGTTCCATGGCCGCCGCGTGCTCATTGGGTGGGATTTCGACCTCCACCTGTACAAGTCCTCCAATTCCTTCGAGGGGTGGATCTCCAAGGTGATGATGTCTGTGAGTGATCTCGTGAGGGACCCCTTTACCTGATACTACCGAAGACAGGCTGTACCATGAGACTGACAAGACCATCGCAATCGGCGGTGAGGTGGCACAGTCGCCTGGGTGGACCTCTGGCGTGGCATCTTCTTCTGCGACGTGCTCAGCGAGTGCCCTGTGCTCCACGACGTCCCACTGCTGGTGCCGGCAAGGGGCAACTGGAATCGGCTCCACTTGCCATAACAAATGTCCTCATGGATAGTAAACATTATCATTTGCCACATATTCACACACTAACTTAAATCTCCATCCTAACTCATGTCTTCCAAATCAACAGTGAGCAAGATTTGATCTTGCCTTTTGACAAGTTCAAGAACATGAACTTTATGATTCTGACTGAAGTTTGGCAAAGTTGACACATCTAGATTTGGTTGTACTATACTGAGTTTAAAGCTATGCCTACTGCACGAGAGTTAAATTGGGCTCACTAAAGAAAGACAAGATAGGCATGAAATAGGAATCCTGCAAATGGTTACTAGAATTTTTTTCAAAGGCTAATGATGATGCAATCAAGTGTTTCAAAGGTAGGGAAACTCATTATGAATTCGAATTTCCATTAGATATTCACAATATTCTATTCAAGCATGGGTTATTTGGATCTATTTGTAATTTACGAAGAGTTAACCTATTGTGTAAAACTTCAGAGTTTAGACATGCATGTGCATACCCACTATGATGTTCCTGGTTAGCAGCCTAATATGGGAAGATTCTTCAGCAAAACTCAATTTTTTTAGAGAAAATTCAGCAAAACTTAAATTACTTAGCAAGTCTAGATGAAAAGTGTTAAAAGCAAATGCACTCATTTTAATCATCCAGTGATATATGTGTATCACGTGTTACATAGCCACCACACAAAATTTAGGAACTTTCAGCGTGCCAAGCTGATTCTGTAGCTCAGAATAGCAATTATGAATTATCCCTTTCTTCCAAACAGTATCCCCAACCTAACGAGAAAATACCCTAATCACAAGAGCTAGAACCACCCACCTCGACGAAGTTGGTGAACTTGGGATCCCTGTTGACCACGAGCCGATGCACCTGGATTCACAACAACCAAGAACCAAGAAACACCACCGGGGGTCAGCAACGCCCAAATCAAAGCCGGAGCCAGAATGCGGCACCAAGACCAAATCTTTCTTCTCCACCAGCAGGCTCACCTCGTACTCGACCTTGTGCTTCTCGGAGTCCTCGAGCGGGACGTAGTACCTGGCCAGCCGCGTCTTCCCCTGCCGGTTCTGCAGCAGGATGAACCGGATCTGCACCGGCGAGGCAGATCGAACCAAGGTGAGGAACAGGAAAGAATCAAGAAAGTATTGGGGCAATCGATGCGGGTTGGTTACCATGGCGGAGGACGACGGGGATGCCTGAGAATTGAGAAGGGCAGGAGCGTGATTCTGGAGCGAGGGGAGAAATGAGTACGAGTTTTCGTTTCTCTGTTCTTCCGGATCGCGGTTTTGATGTATACTTTACATGCTGAAAAGTTAGGCCGTCCAACGTAAAGGGATGGAATATTTGTTTCAGTAAAAAAAATTCTAAGAATTTGAACGCCTACAGTCTGAATTTATACATTAAGCCGCGTTTAGCCTCCGGAAAAATTTTCCTTAATCCTATGTTTTTTTTTTGAAATTGAACTGTCCATTCCAAATAGACCGTGCACTGAGACATACACATACTCCCTTTGTTTCCAAATTATAGAATATTTTAACTTTTCTTGATATACAGATTTTACTAGATATACATTATGTCTAAATACATAGTATAATTAATGTATCTAGAAAAAATTAAATGTCTTATTATAATTTAGAAATTTTTTTAAATTGAGAGAATATAAAATAATAGTACAACAAGGATGGAGAAACATTGGCCATAATGTGTCATTCTAAGCTTCCTTTGGAACCAGACATCTATATTCACTAGATGTATTTGAGCAAGCTTTATGGGTACATGAAGATTGTCTATGGTCCATAAACATTAGGCCTCCTTTGGATCGGAGGATTTTCATAAGAAAAGTAAAGGATTTTATTTCCTATAGGATTGAGAACTGTTTACGCCTTTGGATTGGAGGATGGGACCATAGGAAAATTGAAGGAAAGTTTCCTATGCTGCTCATTTCAAAGGAACGCCTTATGAAAAGAAACATCTAGCTATACCTCTTTTTTTTCATTCCATCGCGTAGGACCGAGGCAAGTGTGTTTGTTGCCGCTATGGCAAAGGGTCTAGGGTGCCTGCAAGTGGAGCATGTGAAGATCAATGATGTATGACTATAATAATTTATCTATCTTTCCAATTCCTTTCCTGTGCTCTATCCAAAGGGTTATACTCCTAGTTTTCTTGTGTTTCTCAATCCTCCATTTCGCATATGCATTCCTATCAAAATCATACATTTTTCCTATTCTTGTGTTTGATCTTTCCTGCGTTCCAAAGGGGGCCTTAATCATGATTTCTAAGGCCCCCTGATTGGAATTCTATAGAAAAACTTACTATGAACCCCTTTGGAATAAAGGATTGGGTTCCTACAAATCACATAAAAATTCCTATGGAATGGCTTGTTTCGTAGGAATTTTGGAGGAATTTTACCAATAGGTTAAACCTCATGGAATGTTTCCTTTGTCATTCCCTCTCATCAAATTCCTATGTTTTTCCTATGCTACATCGAAAAAACATTTCGATGTAGCATAGGAAAAACGTTTCTAAAATCATGCATTTCAAAAAGGCTATAAAAGATTATTAGGTCTTTGACAAAATTTAGTTTAGTGGACCATAGAAAAGAGCAATCATGATATCTTTATTCTCTTTGAAAAGGCCTTTGACAAAATAGAACATGAAGTAGTACTTACTTTGATGGAGGCTAAAGGTTTTGGGCAAACTTGGATTGGTTGTATCAAATCAATTCTTTCTTCAGACACATCAGTTGTTCTGTTAAAGGAGTGTTGGGGAAAATTTTTCATTGCAAAAGGGGTGTTAGACAAATTGATTTTATCTCCATTACTATTTGTTCTTACAACAGGCTTTTTTCAATGACCAGTCAAGGATCTTTGCTCCACAGTTTCGTTCAAAAAAACAAAGCCAAAGACAATGCATTACTCAATTCGCCAATCCTGTTGCAAACTACCTCTTACTTCCCTATCATGCAACATGCTGATGACACCTTAATCATCATGAAAGGTGATGCCATACAACTTTTATTTTTAAATTAGTACCAAACACCTTCTTGGAATCTACCATTGTAAAGATTAACTTCAAGAAATCAATGATGATTACCATAAACATCTATGAGAAAAGGCTAAATTATCTAGCAAGAAGTTTTGGCTATGCAAAAGGCTCTTTACCCACATACTTAGGGCTACATCTTGGAATCACATCCAAAGCTAGAAGAATTCATTCCCTTGTATAAATAAATGTGAAAGAAGATTAGCAAGTGTCACCACCTTCCTCTCCCAAGTTGGTCGGCTAGAGCTTACAAATGTAGCTTTCTCATTTCCACCGACTTTTTACATGAGTACCTTCACTCTACTAACTTCTATTGTCAAGCAAATAGATAAACACAGAAAACATTGTTTTTAGAGGGGTTCAGACATAAATGCAAGAAAAACTCCAAAAGCCGCATGGAAAATGGTTTGTTTGCCAAAGGATGAAGGTCGGTTGTGAGTCATTGGTCTCAAAAAACACAATAAAGCTCTAATGCTAAAAACTTTCACAAGTTCTTCAATAAGAAAGGTATTCCTGTTGGCCGGGTAAGTCTAATTTAGGAAAAGTTGTATAAAAATGGAAAGCTGCCAAACCACATAAAGAAAAGGGTGTTTTTGGTGGAGAGAAAAAGAATCTGGAAACCTTCAAAGATATATCATTGGTGCAACTAAGAAATGGAGAACTTGCTTATTCTAGATAGACAAATGTAGTGTTGAGGTCGTGGGAGACAAATTTCCAAAACTACAATCTTTTGCAAAGAACAAGTACATTTCATCCAGAGCTTTCTCACAAGAGCTTTGCACTCATCAGTTATCTCACTTTTAGATACTGCTTTTAGCCAGTTACAACTCATTATTTCTCTAGTGGAAGAGACACAATTGAATTACAATGATGATATCTGGGGATATGTTTGGGGATCAAACTCCTTCTCATCTTCAGATGCATACAAAGTTCTAGTAGGCCATCCTCAATTTCATGGTGTTTACAAGTGGCTCTGGGAATCCTTTTGTCAGCCAAAGCATAAGGTTTTCTTTTGGTTACTGATCAAAGATAGGTTAAGCATAAGGAACACTCTTAGAAAGAGAAACATTGGGGATCAAACTCCTCATCTTTAGAAGCATACAAAGTTCTAGTAGACCATCTTCAAATTCATGGTGTTTACAAGTGGCTCTAGGAATCCTTTTGTTAGCCAAAGCATAAGGTTTTGTTTTGGTCACTGATCAAAGATAGGCTAAGTATGAGGAACACTCTTAGAAGGAGAAATAAACACTTCAAATCTTATGAATGTGTCCTTTAGCTTTGTCACCTGGTAGTAGAGGAAACCTTAGAGCACCTGTTTCTAAGCTACCCTTTTGCAAGATCTTGTTGGAGCCTTTTGAATGTTAACATTCCTACACATGTCAGTTTCCTAGAAATCTTTACCTCCTTCAGTGATAAGATTCAATCATAGTTCTTTATGAATGCAATCATTCTTCTATGCACAATTTGGACCACTAGAAATGACAGAATTTTCAAAGGAATTCAAATGAATCTTTATGACTGCAAGATGAATTTCACTAAGGAAATCTCGCTACTATCCTTTAGGGCAAAGTCAAAATTTCAACAGCTTTTAACTTATGTATCCAAAATCTGTTATAACTTGTTGTTTGGTGCTTATTTTCTTTGTCTCCTTTGTTTCTTGAACTTTCTTGTATTTAAACTCAACTTGTTCTTAATATATAACTACAGGGGCCAAGGCCCCTCCAGATGATTCTTAAAAATAATAATAACATGTTTTCTGTATATTGGGCCTTGGGTACCCTAGTCACAAGGGAAAACAACCAACCTAGAGGGGTTTGGCCGATCCGACTACTCAAGGGGCCCAAATTGGTTGGGTACCTCATCTACTACTTGGTGAACAAGGCATAACAAGATGTATTAGAAACTAACTCTGTTTGACTAGATTTTCTTGTAACAAACTAGGAAACCAACATGTAAAATGATTAGGACTCTATCTGTGTAACACTACCCCTTGGCTATGTAAGGAGGGGGTAGGGAGTCCCTGATCGGTCATCCCAACTTAGATCTCAAGATCATTCATAGCGCATCCCTCATTGACCAGGCTAGATAGCTCCACCTATAGATACATCGTTGTGATCCCCTACTTGCAACTGACCTTGAATTCACGACGCCAAAGCAATAAAATGAGATAGGACACACCCACTACCAGGCCATGGTTTTCTGACAGTCGAAAACCGTTAGGAGAAGCCAAAAAAATGACAGGATATGAGTGGGGGTGGGGAGCAGATATGAGTGGATTAGGGTTTTGGGTGAGTGGGAGCGCATGTTGTAGGCCTAGTAGCACAAGCCAAGGCCATCATGCGCGTCATTTTTTTGTGAAGCCGCTTCTTTTTGTTCGAGTTCGGATCCGCTCGCCCACGCACAGCAGTTTTGGTTGCCACTATGTGGATGAAAGTGAACTCCAAACACAGTTTGCTAGCCGACAGGATAACTATTGTAACACCCCTGGTGTTATGAGCTTGCTTAGCACCGAGATTGAGGCCCGAGAGAGATTAGCCAAACAAGTTTTCGGGTTTTAAAAATTTAAAACGCACATGAAATGATAAGCGAATCCTATGTGACTCACTTTTGTGGACTCAACTGAATATCCAAATTAACTTACTTAGTGCGTAAAAGTGCTAATGAAAATTCTAACAAGAAGAATGGGATAAGTTGTTTTAATTATTTGGCACAAAAAATAATTTATATAAACAAAAACAAAATATAACTTGTGTGTAGTACTTAAGTAAAGTTGAATATGCAACTTTAATTTTTAAAAATGAATGTTGTTAACCAGTGTTCTTGGGAGCTCAAAAAATGAATTGGAAATTAAAATCAACCCTTTTCGTTAAGTCGGTAAACACTTGAACCATGTTTAAAGTGTCATTTTTGGCAAATTATATTGAGTAAAATAATTAAATAGTGCTTAAATGTTTTGTTCCTATGAGTTAGTATGAAGTATGGACTATTGCATGGCATACTTGTTGGATGGAGTTAACAAGGTTTAGACCTCTTAAAATTTTGGCAAAAGGGCTAGTGACTGTTAGTCCAAAATTGAAATCTTTAATTTTTTTAAGTATGGAAAGGTAGTAGACAGTGCCATTTTGGCAATTAA